TCACAGTGGCAGGACGTTTATCGTGCCTTCGGGGAAAATTATTGTTTGTCTCACCGCAGCTTCCAAGGCATGAAGATATTACAGTGAGGATTAAAAGAATGTGATATGTGCCACAAAGCCATCAGGTGAAATATTTCTCCTGCATCTGTAGCAACGACAGCAGAGACAAACACCCAAAGTGCAGCTCTGTTTTTCTTTATTCAGTTCAGCCCGTGACTTTTCAAGAGCTCAGACGCATCAGAGAAAGAGATACTCTGATAGCGAAACAGTCAGTGTTGATTATAGTACAAATAGACATCTCTAGTGGGAAGATATCAAAGAGGCTAATACAATGCAATACAAAACAGCCTGCACCATTGTTGTTTGTCAACACTAAGTCCCTTCCGCAAATTAAACGCTCGGCTTGCAAGACAAAGCGCAGAGACATGTGACACAGTTGTTGTCTCGGTAAACGCTGCTGTTTTCTCTATATCTCAATGTGTGTTTGAGCAGCGAGGGGAGCACAATAAATCTCCCAGGGCTGGAGAGAGCACTGAAGTGGCAGAGAGCAAGAGAAAAAGAGAATCAGCAAGTGAGGCAGAAAGAGAAATAAAGAGGGCGAGCTCGTGGAAAGTACTGAGGCTTTTCAAGGTCTTAAGTGCTTAGTCAGATTGCTCTCTGTGCCAGATGTGACTAATTGGCAGTACCTGATGAAACTGTGATCAATCAGCTTCACGGTAAACTACAAGCAGTTCGACATAAAGATTCATTGGCTGGGAATAAGCTCTGCCAACAAAAACAGGGCTTTCCAGTTATTTCCTATAATAAGAATATTCTACTGCTGTGCACACTGTAGCCTAGAGGAGAAATGCAATCAGGGTTAGCTGATATGGATTTTTCAAATTAACAAATTATATATACTTTAGAGTCACCATAATGCCAACGAAAAGTTACTGCAGTCAGAAAGAAATAGGTATAACAACTCACATTTGATACTTTATTATAATGTCTTATTTTTTCAAATCTCAACAACTTAAATGTTAATTTCTCAATGACAGATATGAATGCTCCCCAGAGGATAAGTGAGTTTAGGGATCTTATGACATCACTGTGTGCATGGACTGTAAAAACATTATGACCCATGGCACCAGCAAGCGATAGACTGACAGCATGAGCATGCAAGCTGCAAAAAGAGATGTCTTTTATTATTATAATTTATTAGTAATATAAGTATAAATATGTTTTGGGCAAAATTAGAATACTCTAGATAATTAAGGGGAAATACAGCTTGACACAAAAATGTATGTTTCCTTCGGTATGAATTGTAATATATTTATTTAATTGTAATAATATTTATCTGCTCAAGCCCACGAAGGCTGAACTGTCCACACTACAAGAAAACTAACTTTGAATGTGCTGTATTGTGTCATTTTACTTTTATTTCTTATTTCTCCTTGTTGCTATGGAAGCAACGAAGGAAGGGTTGCCATCTTATTTTCTTTAAGTGGAATCTGTCCTAGATTGTAGCACAAAGCATGTCTGCAGCTTTGTGCATCAGTACTGAAGAATGTCCAAAGCTTCAGTCAACAAATAACTAATCTGAAACAGATTTTATAAGCAGAGCCGGTCTTCCTCATCTGTCAAGGTCAAATCTCTGGCGTCTTAGTTCTGCTGGGAAGTGAGCACTCATTATTTTGGTGCTCAGGAAAGCACTTTCCCACCTCGTGACACTTCATCGAGTCAGTGCAGCAGAAAGAGTGTAAGACAAAGCAAATGAATGGTGACACAGGCTGCGTAAAGGTAAAGGATAATTAATTTGAGGTGCCATGATATTCTTGGGGCAGCCGACACACTCTGTGCGCACTGTTGATTTTACAATGTTATTTTTGTGTATATTAAGTAAACAACATATGGCATGTTAATTAGTCACCTTCAGAGGTGCTGGCTACTCTTGAAAAGGTGAACTGCTGTATTTCCAAACTTCAGGAAAATGTCACTGATCTCTGTTCGAAATAAAGTTTTAGTGTTTTATTAAGAAAATAAATGCTTTTTGAAAAATGCTAGACAGCAGATATTATTAGAATAACAATTTTATATGACCATGTGTGGAGCGAAATCTTTTTGACAAACATACGGAAAGTGATCATCCCACCCTGCAGTTATCCTCAGCTCTACAGACCATTAGAGTATTTTTCAGCTCATTCTGTTTCACTCTCACATCATCTACCTGACTTCCAGACATAGCAGTCAGCTGTTTTCAGTGATAAACCCAGTGACATGGTAAACAGACAGGGACTATAGGCTGTTGAGCATACTGGAGCATTTAGCAGCTGAACAGGTGCATATTCCTCTGAGGGGATGTTGGAGACTAACTTAGAAAACATGAAGTTCTCTCAATGTTGTGTTCACAGCTTGTTCCTCTTTTTTGCCTCATGTGGCACGAAACAAGATAAAGACCAAGAAATTCAAAAACAACAAACATTATCAATTTCAACCTCCAAAAGCATCAATGTACACAAAACTGTTGGGAAACTGAAAATAGCCACACAGCCGGATTCTCTCTCTGTTTCTGCTAACACTCACACACGCTCACACACGCTCACACACGCTC